CAGGCATCCCCAAGCCGTCTGGCCAGCGTAAAGAATGATAGTGATTATCATTTCAGCCGTAGGACGTCCACTGCTAAACATAGGACTCCCCCAATGATAGTCTGTTAAATTATAATGGGTCGTGCTGCTAAAAGACCTAATAATGATGATGAGAAATATCATTCTAAGCAGAGAAACATCTTAAATTCTGTATTTTCGGAACCCTAACTCGTTCAAACAACAAAATCAAGACCGCTCTTTTTAGTTCTGCGCTTTATACAGTGATAACGAACGAATCCATTTCGATAAGTAAATCCAAGATCAAGCAATCTGCCTTTCGTCATGTCCGTTTCGTTAGTGTTGACAGAGTTCTGATAGCGATAAATCAGAGGCGGCAAGATCTGAGAGGATATTGAAGGCGGATTAGATGGCCACGCCTGGTCATGACGGGAATGGAACCCGCGATACGTTATCAGTGCCGTGGCAACTGTTGGGAGACAGATCCCATGAATAATTACGGGTTTGTACAGTCTATCTAATAGGTATCAATTAGATTTCTTTTTCTTTAATATTTATGAGTTACCTATTTAAATCTACATAAAATCTAGACAGTCGTACCTAGATTGGTGACCGTACGCCATCTTCAATCTTCATCGCCCAGATTTCTCTAATTCTCAGAATTATTTGCTAAAACACAGCTTTTCCATGTTTCTGGCACACCAAAACCTTAATCTCTTTTTGACTCTATCACAATCAATCTAGGTCGAAAATAGGTTGACGTTTTATGGTTGCTAGCATGTTTGTCCGTTTGTACACACCAAGACGTACGACAAGCGGCGTCTTTGAGATTAAACTGTACTTTTATAATTGCTAGTCAACAAAACCAAGATTTGTGGGTAAAGACAAACAAAACGCTAACGACTTATTTTATTTTTTTATTTTATTTTATTTATTAGGACAACCAACAAGACAAACACGCATACATGAAATTACTATAACTAAAAGTGCTTAAAACTAAGTGCTGTCTTAATTAAAGGCTGCCACGGCATGCAATGTGGACAGTTACAAATATAAGAACTAAGAGATAGTAGGTAACACAGTGAAAAATTGAAATGTAATGAACATTATGAATAAATTTCTTTTACATTATTTGCTGTGGCTGTAAGGGACCTCAGCACAGAGCGCCTGAATTTCAATGGCTTATGGTGAAAGATGTCGACGTCACATGCTTTGCACAGTCTGTTGTACTCCCTTTGCAGTCTGCTCATGGTGGCGTGGTAACCCAGATTGGTTTTACTAAATTTTGTTGCGAAGGGGACATACTTGCAGGAACGTGGGAGCTTAAGCGGTACGTTAAAATTAATTGAGCTCAAAAGTGAGGGACAATCGACGGCTCCGTTGATGAGTTTATACAATAGCATACAATCCAAGAGCGTCCTACGCTCCCGCAAGCTGTGCAGTTTGAAGTAGGCCAGTCGCTCTCCATATGAGGGCANTACAATGGGGATGTTGCCTGGGTCAAAAAGCAAGAGTTTTAATTAGTCCGTCAGTTAACTTATCAAAAAATACTCTACACGTATTTTTCACTTTTTCAAACTAATGAAAATTTAAAGAGATAAAGCGCCCCAAAGTTCATAAGAAGAGGCCCGTGACGTCAACGCTTGCTTAAAAATGCCGCACGTTGTGACGTCGTGCGCAACTTCAACGCACCATAACTATGTAATTATTTGTTAGATTGACAAATAAAAATATATGTGTCCAATATTTTTTGATATTAAACATTACGGACTAAAAAAATTTTTTTAGGCAACTAGCCTATTATCGAATTTTAATCTTTAATTACTACACGCTTAGCTTAAGAGAGTAAATAAATAATTATACAATATTCACTTAGGTTAACTGTTCCAGTGTCGATACGTTACGTACAAGTACATACTCTGACGTGTCCGTCCTACGCATGTAAATACGTCCTCCACGAACCCAGACGTGTTTGTATTGCAGCTCCTTAGCTTTGGCGCGCGCTGCAGCATGGAGGAGCTTATTTTCTGGCGATAGGTTCTCAGTGACGTAAATCGCGGTCTTCTTATCGGTCCCGGTCGACTTCTCTAATTAAGGTGTACTTGACATGATTTCTGATTAAACAAGCCTTAAAATTTTATGATTCCTCATATCTATGGCGCGCCTTGCTTTGCTTGCTTTGGTGGTTGCGAAAATTACGATAGGCAAATCTGTTTAAACTGCAAATCTGATTATTACGTCATTGGATAAAAATTTTAGACGAATTGTAAATTACGTAGAGTCATGTCATTTATACCTATTAAAACTCTATAAAATGTGCCTAGAAAAATATGCCAGCACCTTATTTAGGATTTGAGAAAAAAAGTTCTAAAAATATTTTGATTATTTGTTTACGTTTGTTAATTAAGATTTTGAAAATACTCAGCGGATTTTATTCTGTAGCATACTAAAAATAACACCGTTTTTTCGTCGGGGGCTAAAATTGTTTCTGAGATGCAGCACTCTTTTACTATACGCAATCACACTAATTAATATTATAAAGGCGAAAGTTTGTGAGTGTGTATGTTTGTTACTTCTTCACGTCTAAACGGCTGGAGTGATTTTAATAAAATTTGGTATGGAGTCAGCTGACATCCTGAATTAACACATAGGCTACGTTTTACCGCGGAAAACACCGCGGGGCACAGCTAGTATTATTATAATGGAAGGTCTCTACTTTAGACAAAGATTGCAATGCGAACAAAGTAGTAAACTTTAAACAAAACGCAAACTGGACAGTGGGTCGATCAATCAAAGGGTAACATTCGTGCGCGAAGCATGGCAACTCCTGTCAATATTTACCGCTGTCCATACAGTCACGACATCGTGTTTGCCCTATTATTCACCGTGTTTAACCAAAACCAACTGTGGGCAAGCGTAACCTTGCGTGACTCCGCGACAATGGCATTAGCCCGGCCAATTTGTGAATTATTCAAAGTTCGGCTCGTAATCTTTTCTGTAATTGAATTGCTGCGCATTGGTATTTGTATTTTTTAAAATTTCTTGGAGTTTTTTAAGTGTACCTACTTTTGTTAGTGGTTTAACAACTGAACTGAACTCGAGTTCTTCTTTGCCTGGCCCATTCCCATTTTATTTGGAGAACTGACCTACTGAGTAGTAGATATTGACAATTCATAAAGGGTGTATTTCACTTCAATTAAATGAAATGAGGTGGGGTGGCTGACAAAATGATGTCTTTCTTATCATCATCAGAATTAGTGCATACTCAGACGAATGCAGTGTTAAGCAAGCTTCGATTTTGGATCGCATCATGTAGAAACTTTCTTGAATTGCCCTCTGCAGACTTTGTATCATGATGTTGTATTTGGCGTATTTCCTCAATTTTAACCGACTTTAAAAAAGGAGGAAGTTCTCAATTCCACATTTTTTTTTGTTTCAAAGTTGTGATATCGAGTGTGACCCTTAGGGCGATAATATCAAAATCGGTTAGTTTTTACCCTCAACGGACTTCTGAGAAGTCGCGGACAATCCATACATTTCAAATAGACGCCACAAAACGTTATCTTGTAAACCAATGTTTGCGTACAAGAGTACACATGTCCAAATCCGATTTATAGGGTCCGTGGACCGTCGGCAAAAAAATGAAAGGACCAGATGATTAGGTGAAAGAAGGAATTCAGATTTATAATAAAACTTTGGACATCCTACTACTAATATTATAAATGCGAAAGTAACTCTGTCTGTTACGCTTTCACGCCTAAACCAGTGAACTGTTTTTGATGAAAAATATAGTTTGAGAACAGGGACGCGCGCGATAAAGTTTTTCTGTGACATGAAATTTCACGCAAGCGAAGCCGTGAGCAAATGCTACTTGACTATAAAAATGGTAGGTAGAGTCTACGAACCAGAGGAATATCAATTACCTTCCATTCAGTATTTATTTCTTAATCTATATTGTTTATGTAGATAATAATATTTTTATAATGAGTGTATTCGTTCGTTCGTTTTAGCTGAAAGACGTCCACTGCTGGACAAAGGCCTCCCCTTAAATGAGTAGGTAGGTATGTACAATTGTACAGTAAGCTCAATCTAAGTCGAAAGTCCGATTCCTCCCAACCAAGTGTTCATTTCATAACCTCAAACATTCTAACCGTACATTATCTTATCGAAATTCGTGTTCGATACAAAAATTACAACCATCATAACATGATGCGAGCGTTTAAACTGTCGAGCGATATCGTATCACACCTTTGTCGTTGCCGCCAAATCAGAGTCATAAAACAAATGTAATTTTGCCATAGATAAGGTAGACGGGAGATAAGATATGTCAAGCCCAAATCTGAAGCCGTGGGATTTGGGGTCCCGTGTTATTGGAAATTTCGTTTATGATAGGTTATATTGGATGTTGAGTTAAGGCTGGCCTTCTGTGGAAAAACACAGTGCATATTGTGATTGGCAATCTGATAAACAGTAGCTTACGCCCGTATTCACAAACGATGCTTGCTTAAGTGAAGCTGCAAATCGAATGCACAGCGTTGAATAGACTAGCTCTGTGATTGGTTCGTATGTCATTTTGTGCGTTCACGCACACTGTGAGACCTGAGACGTTTGTGAATGCGCGGCGGGCGTTAGCATATTATAATATCTGTTGCAATCAGATCGACCTTTTGGTTGACATGTTGCTTCACTAACTTTACTGCACTTGATTCTTCGGCGTTCAGTCTACCTTCTAGCTATGGATTTACTCGTCTATTAAGTTGCTATCTTTGCCTACTATGGTAACGTTTATCCAATAGGTTATGTGAATTTTATTCTGATCGCAATGTCCTTTACACTTTTGATGAATGCCTAGTTAGGTCTAAGACGAAAAAAATGTATGCTACAGGGTAACATTACAACTTTGCTTTGGTCCGATTGATCGGATATATCAGACTCATTGATGTAGTCTAAAATAGCAGCTGTTATAAACTTGCAACACACAAAATCTTGCAAAAAATCGTTACCTCTTGCAGAGAAGGTGTCCTGGCTTTGAGCTGGAGGTGGGGAAGCCAGCCGGGGCTCCGATCGGTTGGCAGAAGCCCCCCACAGAGACTGGCAGATGCCGTTCCGAAGTGCTTCACTCGCCGACACTCCTGGGGAAGACACAGAGAAGTATGAAGATAGATATTCAACTGGAAAAAAGGAATTGTTGGAACGTGTTGAAGTCGCTGATACTCCTGGATATAACACAGAGAAGTATGAAGACAAAGATTTATAAAATGGAAGAAGCTGTTTGAAGATGTTGAAGATGAATTGACATTTTAAAGCCTCCAGATACTATCAGTAATAATGACATCAATATTATTGTCATTATATCGTTGGAATTGGATTGGCAAATTCTAAATCTCTCCACATTCAAATATCCTTATCACACTATAACCATCATTCCTTCTTTTTTACCACCACAATGCTTCAAAATAGTAAAGCGGGCAAGACACTTCTAGTAAATATTGATGTCATTAATACTAAAGATTCCTTCTAGGAATCTAGTTTAATTTTAAGATGAAACTAAGTTACATTAATAAGTATAGTTTGATAACAATGTACCAACGATGTTAATTAGGTATTAAAACATATAACTATTCTACACAATTATTTTAAAGGTCAATAAATAGCAGTTAAAGAAAAATTGTGCCCATGGTAGTAAAATAAACTTGACCATTAAAGTTCATTCGTTTTAGATTTTCTATTTATGACTACCTCAAATTGACACGTGCGTCAACAGTAAAAAACAAAGTCTGATACATTCAAGCCAATTTCCTCGTTATTATTTGTAACATAATGGTTGTAACAATTAAAGTATGTTGCAGTAAAACGCCCAAAACTAGGGTGTGAAACTGTGAACACAGTGAAATGTCAATTCTAGCCGCACGTTTAATAGGGCACTTCCTCATTCGCGCTATGATTAGTGTGACTCACCGCCATCTGCCGGTCATCTTTGATTTTGTTAGGACCAGAAGCTTTTAAACTATCAAGATTGTTTTTTTATTAATCGTCATCATTAATCGTTTGTTGGACATTTTATATCTTCTTCTTTTTCTATGAGAATTTGAATTTGATATTATTTGACGAGCCGATAAGTGTCTGATATGACTTAATAACTGGACCCTTTGGGAAATGGAGTCAATTACTATTTGCTTGTGTTTATTTTGAAATCTATAAACATTTTTACTAGTTTAGTCCCAAGTTCGTGTTCGATTGTTAAAAGATCATTAATATTTTTGCTTCACGGTACTGATAATGTTTTTAAAATACACACTGATGAATACATTTACATAAATTGCAATAACAAAATCGAGATTACAGAACTGTTTATTATCAGTTAAACTAGACCTTTTAGGCCGCAAATGCACGATGCGTTTTAACGCATTATAATAATTTGCTATCCGTTTCTGACCACAGCTGAAACTGGCTTCGGCCTCGGTTTGATCATCACTTTCTCAAATGAGATTCACGGAATATCTGCTTGTTTTGGCTATTGGACAACTTTTGTTAATTTCTCATGCAAGTGACTGAAAGGTTTTTAATGAGAAATAAATGTCCTTTAAACCTAGATTTATGTTTCTCATTGTGTTTAAAAATGCGTTAGAGTGTCAGACATTGACGCTAATAACACCCGTGAATAAAACGGTTCTGTCGCTCATTAGTTTCTTAGAATCATGAGGGTGAAACACGATCATACGGATTAAGGAGACACAATCATTCTCAATAAACGCTTAAATGTAAAACGCAAACACTCGTTAAGCTTTGTTTATCCGGAATTATTAAGTCACCTCTGCGGTCTTGTGGAAGGACATTTGTGTCTCTTGTAAATTCATTTGAAGCATATTGTTAATCTTTTTTTTTGTTTTTAATGTCGCTTGGTCAATCAACAACATTCATCGCGTTGATATTCGGGTGACAGCGGAGTGAAGTCATTGCGACTATGCAAGAAAGCGCGAATTTTCGGATTACCGCGATGTGTGGCCTAGGGTTGACGAGAGGCAAGCTGAGTGGTAGACCTAGACATTGCTAATCAGTTGAGACAACCGAGTACCCATTTGACATTATATGCTGTCAAAACGCGACTCTCCCACACATTTTGTAGGGCGATATATGCCTTTGACGTCATTATTAAGTGTGGAGAAAGCTAGTATTAGATTCACAGTTTTCACTAAAGTGGAGAGGAGACAAAATGTTTCTGAATAACTATGGATACTTAAACCAATTCGTTTTTTTTTTTCGATCGAAGAGATAACGTGGAAATAACGAAATTTCATTTGTTATTCAAACACATCTCTCCTCTTCACCTCGGTGGATGGAAACTGGGCCCAACACGCGTGTGTCCCCAGCCTAAGCCGCGCCAGCAATTTGGCCAATTGAATGTTTGTCTTATCATTGAGAGGGCCGCCTTGATTGCGCCGGCGCAAGTCGGATCACTTTCGCGCCGCGTGAGGAGTCAGGACATGTCAAATGAACATCGCCTCAGTTAAAGTGCGGAGTTTATTGATTTTAATCTTTTGAGTTTTATAGATCTGTCGCCCATTTGGTTTAACTGAATAATAAGTTTGGCACATTGACATTTTCAGTATGGGAAATATGTCAAGTCAAAGTCAAAAATGACAAGTTTATTCTTCAGTTAAAATATATCAACGTGGAAAGCATTGGGGGAGGCCTATGTTCAGCAGGGGTCCATATTGGCTCACCTAAAGTTATTTACCCGAAATTGTTCTTCCTAACGATTTTAAATCCGAATGATCACTCTTCCTAAAATTTTTCCTCCTAAAGCTTTCATTCATACCTACTATTTGTAGTGCTACCGGCGATGTTCATAACACTCATGTTTCCGAAAATTTTAATTAATAATATCATTTATGTAAATATATTTAAACTCCTACTGTTTTTTATCATAACACTTTTATCCCTAAACATTACATTAATATTTTCACTCATACCATAGAATAATNAAAAATTTTAGGAAGAACATTTTCGGACTTCCAATTTTCGGAGATGAAAATTTAGGTGAACTTTGGCGCACCCGTTCAGCAGTGGACGTGGACTGAAATGATGATGATGATGATGAAAAGATATCTGACGAATGAAAAATCAGCCCTTAGTTCGTAACGGACTGTTAGGCTTAGGCCGAGGTCGCGGGTTCGATTCCCGCACAGTACCGAAGAACGCAGCGTGAGACGTCTATCCACAAGCAAGGTGGTGGCAAGGTGGTTGATGATGATGATGATGATGCACGAGATATTAAAAATAAAATCAAATGAAAATTATTGTTCAGTATGACAGAGTTACTCAAAATGACTGAGTCAGTGTTAGAAGATTTATGTTGTAAAATTGAATCTAACTCAAGATGTCACAGTCTTAATCTTGATATGCATTCATCATCAGGACTTTCTTTAAATGACTTTAAACCTTATCCTAAAGGCATACATTTTAAAATACATTGGTTGACACGTAATTTTCTGGTAACACAAACTTATCTTGTAACAGAAAGTTTGAAGTGGATTAAAAAATAATTATGTTTTATTATCGAGCACATGTAGTTTTGTAATCGGTCCGAGATTATTACTTGTGATTATTATAATAATGTTATCGACTCCATCAGCTTGTAATTACGTTGTTGCTTTTTGATACGATCTTGATTCGTTTTTATTGTGATTTAATTTTAGATATTTAATTATATCGTTTTTAGTGCGTGAAGTATCTAGGTGTACCTACTTCAACCAATATTATAAGACACATCTTTAAACAAGACATTTTTTTAGCATTAAAACAAGAGTTACTTTTCTGTAAAATTCGATTTTAACAGCTTTCACATTCATTAATACTTAGGTATTGAAATAGTGACGTCATGCAATTTTACAATATAAAATCTATGAAAGCATTAAGATGGCTCCCAAAAGTATGTCACTTGCTTAGTAGGTGTCTATGGATTTTGGATTAAATAAAAAAAAATCTGTGTTCTTTTTTTTTCTTTCTAACCAGTGTGCCTACCATGAGTTTACGTTAGGTGTGCTCGCTAGCGACTGCGTAAAAAAATGACATTTAAATGTATGACATATTGTGCAGCGCCCCTAGCGGCTACTTTCAAGAAATAAAATCTTCATAGAATTTTTTGACGTATTCGCTAGCGAGCTCACCTAACGTAAACTCATGGTAGGCACACTGTAGGCTTACCATGAGTTTACGTTAGGTGAGCTCGCTAGCGACTGCGTAAAAAAATGACATTAATTGTATGACATATTCTACAGCGCCCCTAGCGGCTACTTTTAAGAAACAAAATCTTCATAGAATTTTTTGACGTATTCGCTAGCGAGCTCACCTAACGTAAACTCATGGTAGGCACACTGATCTTGACTCTGCTTTAGTTTCCAAAAGAATCCAACTCGAATCCAGTCCAGTCAACAGGATGCATGATAGCAGCAAGGGCAATCAGTGCCGGAGGAAGAGGGCGATTCACTGGCGCCAGTGAGGCGATCGCCAAGAGTGACGGCTTGATGGCAGGACAGAGTCGTTAGGGAAACGACTGGCGATTTCGCATTGTCATCGCTGCCGACTGTTCATGACATTTGGTACCTTGACAGGAACACAGCATGACTTTGGGTACCAGCTGTGCACAAGAACACAGGGTAAAAGTGTGATGTATTTTATGAAAAGCGAGGTATTGAAAACTGTGAGACGTTGTTAGACAATTTTTTTTTATGTGACTGGAGGCAAACGGACCACCTGTGTGACGGTAATCACTTACCATCAGTGTGTCTACCATGAGTTTACGTTAGGTGAGCTCGCTAACGAATACGTCAAAAAATTCTATGAAGATTTTATTTCTTGAAAGTAGCCGCTAGGGGCGCTGCACAATATATCATACATTTAAATGACATTTTTTTACGCAGTCGCTAGCGAGCACACCTAACGTAAACTCATGGTAGACACACTGATGGTAAGTGATTACCGTCGCCCATAGACGCCCGTAGACCCAGGGGCGTTACAGGTTATATTGAAGATGTCGCTGGATTAACTTAACATTTTAATATTAAAAACGTTATGATGATGATCATCATCATCAGTTCATTTAGTGTCCCTACTGAAGGAGCACGATCCT